TTATCCATTTACCTGTTGATGGACATTTGCGTTGTTTCTGGTTCTAGTCTACTATGGATAAAGCTGCTGTGAACACTTGTGTACCAGTATTTATGTGGGCATGTGTTTTCTTTTCCCTTGGATAAACACCTAGGAGTGGAATGGCTGGGTCATTATGTTAAATATATGGTTAACTTTATAAGAAACTAGCAGTTATTTTCCAAAGTGGTTGTACTATTTTATACTCACCGTTAGTGTATGGGAGTTCCAACTGCTTTACATTTTCACCAACGCTAGGTATTACTGGTCTTTTAAATTTTACCTTTTATAGAGGGTGTGAAAGTAGTATCTCATTGGGTTTTAATATACATTTCCTTGACGATGAATGATGTTGAGCATCTTTTCATATGTAAAACAGCCATTTATCTTCTAATGTGAAGTGTCTATTCAAATCTTTTGCCTGTTTTTAAACCGGGTTGACTTATTATTGAATTGAAGAGCTCTCAATATATTCCGGAAATAAATCCTTTGTCAGATTTATATGTTATGAAAATTTCCCATCTGTGGCTTGCATTTTTCATTTTCTTAACACTACCCTTTGAAGAAGAGAAATTTTTAATTTTGATGAAGACCAAATTATAAAATTTTTCTTTTATTCGTGCATTTAGTGGTGTGTCTACAAAATCTTTGCATATCCCAAGGTCATGAAGACTTTTTTGAATGTTTTCTTCTAGAAGTTTTTATAGTTTTAGGCTTAGGAAGCACTTCAAGGTAATATATTTCAAAGCTCCATTTTTCCATATGTGTATCCAATTCTAGCACCATTTCTTGAAAAAGACTACCTTTTCTCTATTGAACTGCTTTGGCATCTTTGTTGAAAATCAATTGACGATACATTTGTGAGTCTATTTCTAACCTCTTGATTATTTTTTTGTAATTGAAGTATAATTTACATGCCATAACATTAATTTTTAAAAGTGTATAAGTCAGTGGTTTTTAGTATATTCATAAGGCTATACAACCATTGTCAGTATTTAATTACAGAAGATTTTCATCACCTCAGAAAGAAACTCCACACCCACTACCAATATCTCCCCATTCCTCCCTTCCCCTAGCCTTTGACAACCCCTGGTCTACTCTCTGTCTCTATGGATTTGTGAATTACAGGCGTTTCATATAAATCAAATCATACAATGTGTGGCTTTTTGTGTCTGGCTTCTTTCACTTAGTATAATATTTTCAAGATTTACCCATATTGTAGCACATATCACTACTTCAATTTTTTTTATTGGATTCTATTCCATCCTACGATCTATGTCTTCTCTTCACTAAATACCACACAGTCCTGATTATTGAGGCTAAGTCTTGAAATCAGGTAATGTTAGTCTTCCATCTTTGTTCTTCTTTTTCAAAATTGTTTTGCCTATTTTAGGTCCTTTGAATTTCCATATGCACTTTTAATTAGTTTATCAGTTTCTGCAAAAGAGCCAGCTAGGATGATGATTGGAATTATACTGAATTGACATCTTCACAATAATGGGTCTACTAATTTGTGAATTGGATATCTCTACTTAAGTCTAATTTATTTCAGCAATATATTTTAGTTTTAGTGTACAAGTCTTGTCCTTATTTTTTTTTTAAGATTTATTTATTTGAGGGGGGAGGGGACAAAGGAGAGGGAGAGAGAAACTTAAGCAGACTCTATGCTGAGCTGGGAGCCTGACGTGAAGCTTGATCTCACAACCCTGAGATCATGACCTGAGCCAAAAACAGGAGTCAGATGCTCAGCCAGCTGTGTCACCTAGGTGCCCCCCCAAGTCCTGTACTTATTTTGTTCAATTTAATCTCATTTATTTCATGTTCTTTGATGCTGTTACAAATAGTATTTTGTAAAATTTTTATTTTCTAGCATGTAGAAATATAATTGATTTTTGAATATTGACTTTGCATCCTGAGAACTTGCTAAATTAACTTATTAATGCTAATAGGTTTTTGGAATATTCCTTAGGTTTTTCTACATATACAATCATTTTGTCTGCAAATAAAGACAGTTTTAGTTCTTCCTCTTCTTTTTTTTTTAAATCTGTGTGCCTTTTATTTCTTTTTCTTGCCTTATTGCACTGACTAGGACATCCAATCAGATGTTCAGTAGTAGTCATGAGAGAGGGTATCCTTGCCTTCCTAGGGGAAGAATGTTCATTGACCATTAAGTATGGTGTTAGCTGCAGCTTCTCATAGATGTCCTTTTCTGTGTTGAGGAAGTTCTATTTCTAGTTTGTGGAGAGTTTTTATCTAAATAAGTCACATGTTAAGTTTGGTCACATACTTTTTCTGTATCTACTGAAGAGATCTTTTTTCTCCTTTATTCTGTTAATGTGCTGAATTACAGTGACTGATGTTTTTCTAATTAAACCAACCTTGCAATCCTGAAATGCTTATCCCACCCCCTTGGTCATAGTGTATTATTTTATCTTGCTAATACTTTATCTTGCTAATGCTTTCTTAAGGATTTTTGCATCTGTATTTTTGGAAAGAGATCACTTTTGTAATTTTCTTCTAATGCCTTTGTCTGGGTTTAGTATCAGGGCAAAGCTCGCCTCATAAAATAATGAATTGAGAAGTATTCCCATCTCTGCTTTGTGAAAGAGTTTACAAAAACACAATTTGTCTTGATTTGCATGTACTGTGTGTATTAGTAAACATTTTACTGGATGACAGTGGGGAGGGAAAGATAGCTGCAGGACCAGTCAGTTTGTCAGTCTGAACAAGACTGTTTGAGCCATTCTTTAAGCCCATGGTTACTTCCAGAGATGGTGAATTAAATTGTAAACCTACCAGGTCTTTAATGCCAGACACAGAGAGCAGAGGCTTTTAGAGCACCCACGATGTGACAAGTACCACTGGAAAGATAATCTGAGTATTTTCCAAAGCAAATGTGTCTGCCAAAATAAAGCCACGTTTCACATACCTATCAAGTTGTGGTATGAATTAAGTCAAGGGAAAGAGAAATAAAAAATAAAGATCATAGATTGGACTCTTTAGTGATCTCATTAATGAGATGAAATTGAGATGAATGCACATGAAGTATTTAATAACAATTTTTTAAAAAGGAGAGAAGCTGTTTTTTTTTTTTTAGTTCAGCTGTTTAAGAGAAATGACAGCCAGATCAAAAATTCAAAGACGGGTGCTCTGAGAAGGGTGAGCGAAGGATGGGTTCATACGTTCAAGAAAGGCTTCCCACAGGAAGAGAGATTTAGATGAGGTCAGTAAAGAGAGAACCAAAGATAGTATCAGGGGGGTTAGGCCAAGCCTCCCTGGCAAGAAACCAGAAGCATGTATTGGGTGGAGAGTGAATTAAGGTGCAGTGCTCCTGGGCCTCCATAGCTCCTGGGAAATCTTTTAGGTAAATGCACCTGTAAAGCCATTGCCTGTTCTTGTGTTTCTCCCTCCTAGTAGACTAAGAGCCTCTTGAGTGCACGGAACATGTTTACTCATCTATGAATCCCCAGCACTTGGTACAGAACCTAGTGTACATTAGGTGCTCAGTTGTCATTGAATAAACGAGTGGATGAAGAGAATTACTGCCTACGTGAAAAATCAAGGGTACAAGTGTCTCATGGGGTTGACCTTGGCTTTGGAACCACATAGAGCAGTCAATGTACTAGCTTGTGGGAGTAACATCTCAGCAGATAGATCCCTTAGAGGAAAGCTGATGTTTCACTCTGAACTTGTGCTCTTTCTGCTTTACCGGTCATACTCAATTCTGGCTTCCTGCTAGGATCACCTGGGGTGTTTAAACACAGATGCCTGAGCCCCATCTCAGACTGATTAAATCAGAATCTCCAGAAGCTGTGCCCAAGATCTTTCTTTTTAAAGCTCCCCAGGTGATCCTAAAATCATCCAGGATTGAGAACCACTATGGTACACTGTTGCTTTTGTTTGAGATAACTAAATGGGCTTTTAAGGGTGTCAGCTGTAAATGACTAAACTTGCAGTATAAATGTTTATTAATGCCACATTGTAATTATATCCACCAAGATTTCCACTCTCTCCCTCTGTTGGATGTCCTTTAAACAAAAGACTACAAGTCTTTTACATCTTTATGAACAGAATTAGAAAAACCAAGAACAACATTTGCCAACTGAGGAGAAGTGAAGTTGTGAAATTCTGGGGTGGTGTTGCTCTAGTGTATTGCTGCTCACAAATTACCCCTGTTCAAGCGCTGGGTCTGAAGAAGAATTTCAGGGTCACTATTCTTTATTTCATTTTCTGGTGCTTTTTAAAAAATCTGCACCTGTGTTCAGTCTGCATATTTTTTTTTAGCAATTTCCACCTTATAAATTCTACCAGATACACAGTTTTGTAAGAAATGTGGTATAACAAGCAAATTGTTTCTAATGGGAAGCCTTAGAACTGAGTCAAAAGTAAAATAAGGTGTGCACACTAGCATGAATGTGCATTTTGGGAAAGGCATAGCTCTAATCAGACACTCGGGGGTCCAGATCCAAAATTGTTTAATAATCAATGCTTTTAGTCTAAATACCTTCTCTGCACAAAATTCAAGGTCATGTGTGAGCTGGCTCCTGCGTACGCACCCAATGCCATCTGCTACCGCTCTCCCTTGTTTTCTATGGACCAGCAATACAGATATGCTTGTAGCATCCAGAATGTGCCGTATTCTCTCACTGTTCTGGGTTTTCGTATGGGCCATTTGCCTGGCCTGGAGTGACAGTCCTGTCCTCTGTTTGCTTTGTATGGTTAGGTGTCACTTATAGAGCTCTTCTTCTTAGACTCTGTCCTGGACAATGTCTGCTCCCTCCACTCCCACTGTGCCTTCTTGCATTTATTGTATTCTGCTGTAATTGTTGGTTTACAGCTGTCTCCCCATCTGGATGATAGCTCCTTTAAGGGTGTGCCGGTCTTGGCATTCATGCCCAGCTCCTAACTTAACATCTGTCATGTAGAATGCACACAAGGGATCTAATAGCTATAGGACAAATATGTGGCCTTTTCACTTTCAGGTGCTCTTGATCAAACTACAGAATGGATAAAAGAATCTGTAAATGAAGAACTACTTTCTCTTTCTGAGACTGCTTTAACTCCTGGGGCTGAAAACAGCTCTAAGCCAAGCCTGAGCCCTACACTGGTGCTAAATAACAGTTATTTAAAACTGTTACATTGGGATTATCAGAAAAAAGAATTACCAGAGGTGAGTGGGTTTTTTTTTTTTCTTCCCTCAAGTTCTCCAATATTTTAATTCTCAAGTTCGATCTGTGCATCAGCTAGTCTGTCTAGTGTTGCATGTGGTTTAATGACTTTCCTGAAATCAGATAGAAATGGGAGTTTGGATGTGACATTGCTTGTTTTATATTTTCATGGTATTGAGCTTCCCTTTCTATTTTTACATTTAAAATAAATATGCTAGACACTCATGACAGATGGAGCACGTCTTCAGGAACTGACAGAAAAGCTGAATCAATTGAAAATTATTGCCTGCCTGTCCCTAATTACCAACAACATGGTGGGTGCTCTTACAGAAGGCCTCCCTGAGCTTGCAAACAGGTTAAAAAGGATTTCAGCTGTTCTACTCGAAGGCATGAACAAAGAGTAAGTTCCAAGTGTTTTTATCTGCTCATCCTCATATTAAGGATCTACATGTGTTTCAGAGATGGTGAATAATCCTGGATGTCTGGGTGTGGTATTTAGGACTGTACTTTAGAGAAGCTTATCTTACACCTTCTTTTTCTAGAATTTCTTTTAATATCTCTGGAGGTTTAGATGTCCTTTCATAAGAAGGGAGAGATCTTTTCCATGACAAATGCCAGGGTGAGTGTCCTATTTCTGCTTAGGTTGGGCATGTGCAAGAGCTCTTCTTTGCCGGTGCTGTGGAACAAACAAAAATTACAATTCCAAGCTGAGGGTTTAGAAAGCCCTATCAGGGAGGCTTTCCTACTCAGTTGTTCTGACTCCATCATTTTTCTGCAATGGAATGTTTACCAATTTGACTGATCCAGCCTGCTATGAACTCTTCAGTAGAAGTAGTGACATCCTGTCCTTCAGAGATGTCACACAAGTCCAGTGAAGCTCTTGTTTTTGCTAAATTCATTGCCCAGTATCAGACCTTGGATTTCATTTAGATCGTCCTGTTGCAAATCCTGTCCAAGTCAGAAAATTTCTAGTCTTAGTCAATGACCAGAAGTTTTCGTGGGTCTTATATGGGTCAGCTCCTCCTGCTGGTTCCCCTTTCAGGGGCTTTCAAGGCCTTACATTGTTCATTCCTGTCTTTGAAGGAATCCCTCCATCCTCCTGCTCATTACTCAGAAAGCATGTAAGACTCCTTGATAAAATCCTAGCATATTAAGAGCCAACAGTACCCTGAGTGATTATAGCATCCAAAGTTGTCAGAGAGAGGATAGGATTTGCCTTGGGCTGCATAGCGAGAAAAAAGGCAAATCAAGGCCTAAGGCCTGGTCCAACTGTGTCAAGGCCCTGCCCTTTCTACTGTTTCTGTGCTAATCAGCCAAGCTCATTTACTTCGCATTCCAGGACCTAAGACCTATAATGAAAAGAAACCTTCTCTAGGTTTGCAGCTGGTCTTACCTTAGCATTTCCCTACACGGGGTAACTATTACTTTCCAGAAATTTTTATTAAGCCTTTAGAGAACCCACAGTGCTGCTTAAGTATTCATATAAAGCATATAGCAAAGTGGTTACTGAGAAGTCAAGCTTCAGGTCAGATAGACCACGGTTTAAGTCCCAGCTGTGCTATTGACTTGTTAGGTACCCTTGAACAAGTTCCCGAATCACTCTGAGCCTCATTTTCTCACTTGCAAAAAGGGATAATTGTGCCTACTTACAAATGTGGGAACTTAAGATGATTCATTGTGAAGCACTTAGTGCAGGTGTCTGGCACATGGTGCGCGATAAATGTTCACTTTTAATAACTAGTTAGTTGTTAAATCATCTCTTTATAGATGCTCTGCCTCTCCGATTGCTTCATTGTTTTAATCCCCCACACCCACCCCTGTTCTCTTATCCTCTGATTTCCATTCTGCACAAAGTTATCTTAAAGACCATTTCTGGATAGTGAGAGACCATTTTCAATCATCGTTCCCCAATAGCGTGGACCCAACACATGCCCTTTCTAATTACCTCTTTTTTCTTACCTCTTAAGTAACCCACTGCCAATTACTTTTTATGGTTTTCTGGGATTTTTGATTGGTTACTTGAAAGTAACAATAGGAAGGAGCTTCTTACCTTTGATCATGATAGGCCAAGAATTTTAGGTACTTTGTTATTATGGTATAAACCTCTAAATATCTTCATTTCTTATGGGCTTTTTTTTTTAAGATTTATTTGTTTATTTTAGGGAGAGAGAGAGAGAGAGAGAGAGAGAGAGAGATCACAAGCAGTGGGAGGGGCAGAACAAGAGCGAGAAAGAGAACCTCAAGCAGACTCCGGCTGAGTGCAGAGCCCAATACAAGGCTTGGTCCCAGGATCTGGGGATCATGACCTGAGCCAAAATCAAGAGTTGGCTGCTTAACTGATTGAGGCACCCAGGCGTCCCTTCATTTCTTGTTTTTCATTGGTTTTATAGATTCACTGTTCAGGCATGGGTAAAGGAATCGATTCTTCATTTTATAAGCATAGATTTAACAACAACAACAAAATCTATGAATGAATCTGCTCAAAAAGGTTTATTTTAAGAAGTAAATAGGTATTTTCTGATGGTCCTGCATGAAAATGGTGTTGCAGACTTATTTTCAGGGACCACACTTTTCTGACTCTGCCTTCCTAACTAAACAGTACCTACATAATTGAATGGTTTTAAGCATTTAAAAATCTGCTACACATAGGTTTGGTGCTTGTGAGGAGTTACTATAGTCTAAGTTCATGCTAATGGAAGTACTTACTGTGTGTAAATGAAAAGTGACAGACATTTGAAAAAAGTTGGTATATTAAAAAATATTTAAAAACTGCTGAACAAGAAAACTATTCCTGATGCGATTTTGTTTTATGCCTTTTTTTTAGGACCTTTAACTTGAAGGAAGTCCTGAATTCTATCGGTGTTCAGACTTGTGTTGAGGTTAACAAGGCCCTGGTGGAGAGAGATTTATCCATTTTAAATGCGGAGGCCCAAGCTAATCTCATAGGTCAATTTTCAAGCATCGAAGAGGAGGACAATCCTATCTGGTCCTTGATTGGTGGGTCCTCGTGTTTTCAGTGGTTTCCACTTCAATTCAAATTTGCTTTAACTTGCTGGTTTTGACTAATGTCAAGTGTCAGTTACATTTTAGTCTCATATAGATGACCTGTTCCTTTTGGAGAATAAATATTAAAAACATAAAGAAAGAAATTGTACTTTCAAAGGTCTGGGACTCACTGCTTCTTCTGTGTATATATGTAACAGAGTGGGGGAATGTTCCAGGGCCTTCTGTCTTACTATCCATCCAAGAGATTTTTATGAAGAAAATACCATAATGCTACCAGTATGTTAAAATCCTAGATCAGTGTGACAATCCAAACCAGCTGGCAATATGCTCAAGAAAGTAGATGCCAGTTCTGCTGTGAGCGAGGCTAAGCGAGCTGAGGCCTCTTTCTCAGCCAGGTTTAAAGAGACAATGAGTAAAGAGGCTGTGGAACTGGGGGGCATGGTGGTGGGCTTTTCTGGTACTTGATTCCAAGGCAAGTGACCCTCTCTGTGTCACGTTGTGTTGGTGAGTTGGAAAAGTGGAGAATGCATCAGTTGGGACTCTCTGTGACCTGTGACAGAACTGAACTAGCTTAAGCAAAAAGGAAGTGCCTTTGCTCCTGTAACCAACCAGAGCAGAGCAGGGCTGGCTCCTACGTGGCATAGTCAGAGCTCAGACTGTGTCACTGGTGCTAGTCTCCCCAGCTCCTGCCTTCAGCACTGCCTCCCTTCAGGCTGGCTATCTTCACGGATTGACTCTTTCCATCATGGCAAGACTGCTTCAGCTCCAGCCTGTACCTTTCCGTATTGCAGTCAAGCGGAAAGCAAGGTGTTGGCTTCACTGTTAGCCCAAATAATGACCCCAGAATTGAGTCTCATTGGCTCCCGTTGGCATGACTGTAGATCAAGTCACATTCTTGAATCAGTCTTGGTGGCCAGAGAGGAAGGAACTGGAGCTTGAGATGTGTGTTCAGTTCCTGGAGCCAGGGTGAGTCCACTTTCCCTGCAACACCTGGTCTGAGAGGGAAGAGAGGATTTGCCCCAGACCAAATCAGGGTGCTATGGCCAGAAGGAGGGGGAGAAGGTGATGTGGGGCACAAAGCAAGTGTCTGCTATAGAGAGTGAGGAATAAAGACCAGAAGGAGGAAAAGAGCATAGAATTGGAACTATGGACTAATCTGCAAGTTCTCAAAGTACAACACTGACTTTCCTAAGAGTACAAATACTTGTCATTATTATTTTTGAGGCTCTCACATAGTTTCTCTCATCCTTACCCCTGGGGACATGGAATGCTGGAGATCTAGGCCCCTAAAAGCTCAAGGCTTTAACCCCTCCCCAGAAAGGAGTAGTGCTGGTTGCAGCACTGTGGGTTACCAAGAGATCACTCTGGACAACAGTGACAAGCACAGCATAGCTGCAGTGACTCGGGGCTGAGGCCTTCTGTGCATGCCTTCACTGCTGACCCCTGTGTGTCCTCCTGGCCCTTCATCTCCAGCAGAACAGCCCATACCTGGGAGGAGGAGGGGCAGACTGTCTGCAGTCTCTGCCACATACCACTGGCCCCCACTAGTGTGCAGGCCTTGTGAGCATGGAATGCATGTCTCTTGTCTTCTGTGTCCCTGTACCAGGCTGGACCCACAGATGACATTTAATAAGTACAGTTGACCCTTGAACAACACGCGTTTGTACTGCACAGGTTCCCTTATATGCAGATTTACTTTGATACAGTACTGTAAATGTATTTTCTCTTCCTTATAATTTTCTTAATAACATTTTCTATTCTCTAGCTTATTTTAAGAGTAAAGTATATGATACATGTATAAAATATGTATTAATCAACTATGTTATTAGTAAGGCTTCTGGTCAACAGTAGGCTATTAGTATTTAGGCTTTTGGGGAGTCAAAAGTTATATGCAAATTTTTGACTGCGTGGGAGGGGTCAGTGCTCCTCACCACCATGTTGTTCAAGGATCAACTGTATTTGAGCAAGGGGGGAGTGCATCAGAGACTTAGACTGGGTACGTACCTCACATAACTAACTGGCTACAGACAAGGGACTCTGAATGAGCCAGTCTGACTCCAGAGCTCATATTCTTAACCACTCCTGGTGGGCACTCTAGTCAGAACTGGAGCCCTGCTGTTGGTTGGCATGGTGGCCGGAGCATCCAGGTGTCCTCTGTGCCCTTGCTTTAGATAAGGGAAGCACTTGCAATTTCAGAAGGAAGGGAGCTGGGATGCCCTAGCTAGATGCCCCACCCCAAGGTGGCCTCTTAAAATTTGGTAAAGCACCTTTTTTTTTTTCCACCCAGCTATCCCCAGTCCAACTTCCCTGCTGTTTTGCAAACTGGACGCATTTTTAACCTAATTCAAAGTATCGTTGCCTAGAAACTCGAATGACTCATTTGAGCAGCTCTCCTTCGACTCTGGAAGCCAAGGGCACGCCTTTGGCAGGGTCTCAGTTTGGCTGCTCCTAACTGGACAAACACTTCTGTCATTTTAGTCTTGGCCTAAAAACTGACTCATCCACGGAGGAGACAGAACTTCTTGTCAGCATAATAACAGTTTTGAAAGAGTTTCTTTCTTTCTTTTTTTTTTTTAAGATTTTATTTTTTTATTTATTTGACAGAGAGAGAAACACAGCGAGAAAGGGAACACAAGCAGGGGCAGAGGGAGAGGGAGAAGCAGGCTTTCCACAGAGCAAGGAGCCCGATGTAGGGCTTGATCCCAGGACCCTGGGATCATGAACCGAGCCGAAGGCAGACGCTTTACAACTGAGCCACCCAGGCGCCCCTGAAAGAGTTTCTTTCTTTAAACAAGCTTGCAGGAAGGTGTTTGGACCATATCTGTGATGAAAACAGACCTGGTCTCCTGAGAGTCAGGCAACCAGTCTAACGGGAAATTTAGTACACAATTGACTAATTTTCTGCTTGCAGAAGGGTTGGAGTTAAGCACTCAGAGGAACCCCGGGGACTTAAGAAGGACCAGTTAGCCTTGGTTTTCCTTCCCTGTTTGTGGTACCCATAGTCTGCCTTCTTTTGTTCTTTTCTTTTTTTCCCCAAGATTTTGTTTATTTGAGAGAGAAAGGGAGAGGGCACAAAGCGGGGTAGGAAGGTGGGGAGAGGGAGAAACAGACTTTGTGCTGAGCAGGGAGCCTGATGCTGGGCTTGATTCCAGGACCCCAGGATCATGACCTGAGCCAAAGGCAGACACTTAACCAACTGAGCCACCCAGGTGCCCCTGCCTTCTTTTGTTCTTGATGTGCTGTTTCTTTAGAATGGGATTACAACTCCCACTGTGTTCTTAGCCTTTTAAAAAGATAACTAGAAAAGGTTTCTTTCAAATCAGCTTTTTTCAGATGCATATGAAAACTAGGGAAAAATTATTTATAGATTACCTGCTATGTAGATTATTTGCATGTTTGTAGCTATCTCTGTTTTTTAAAAGTAATTTTCAGTTGTATAAGTGATACTTACATGATTTCTTCTTGTTGACGAATTATGAGTGATGCCAAGTCCTCTTTGACTGTCCACCCCATTTCTCGCTGACTCTGTTGGATGTATTCACCTTTACAGAGCTTTTTCATTCCATTCTCAGTTCAGTCAGCATCTGTGATGTGCCTGCCACGTGTCAGACCAGGGATTTGAAGATAAAAAAGACACAGCCCTCACCCTCAGGCAACTCTACGTGTAAGAAGAGAGAGAGAGAGAGAGAGAGACATATGTTCTCAAGTAACTGTAATACGGCATGATTGTCTGACGGATGTTAGGGAAAGCCACAGAAAGGAAGTAACTTTAGGCTTGGCATTGAAGGATGTTTTGGACTTTGAGCAGAGATGAGATGAGATGACAGGGAAGGGTCGTCTAGTAAGAGAAAACAGTTCTGGCTAAGACAAGACATGCGACATTGGGAACTTAGAATTCTAGGTCAGACCTAGCTGCAATGTGTGACTTTTGGGAGAAGTGTTTGGAGACAAGAGTTTTATTAATGTCATCATGGTCCATATCCTATGAACTGTGTTCTCTTTAGTAAGCTTTCCTTTGTGAGGTTTCCATTTCCAAAGCCAAAAGAAGTCCTTGGGGCACTGTGGCCTGTAGTGGGTCTGGACTGTCTGGTACTGTTTGTCTGATACTATTGCAGCCTCATTTACTTATGCATTTCATCCTTTTGTAAAGTCGCCTCACATGCAGATGCGTTGAAGCAGGGAAGTAGGAGGATGGCGAAGATGGACAACTGGAGTGCCAGTTGGGGCAGCCCCTCATTGCCTCCAGATTGTTGGCCATAGGTGGGGCAACTGTATAATTTATTGTCCAAACCAAGACACTTTTTAGAGCATTCTTGTTAATTATGCCAGCACAACAGGTGTAAACTCTGAGTGTCCTGGGAAAACCTGGATGTGTGGTCACCCTGGTCATGTGGTAATTTGGGCCCCCAAGTTTGCATCTCTACATTTTTCAAGAGGAACCAGAAATTTGGATTTCTATGTGAAATCCCCTGATTTTAAAGTTTCTATTTCTAAGCCCCCCACCCCCCGCAAAAAAACCATTGTGTGGGGCTGAACTAGCAGTGCCAGTTTACAAACTCAGCTTTCATGTACATGACTAAAATCATGTACATTAAGTATTAAGTTTTTTGTAGAAGAGTCCCTGTCCTACTCCAGAAGTGCTCTACATTTTTTTGTCTACATTGCTGTGTAACAAGGCACCTCAAACTCCAGAGCTTAAAAAAACCCCACAAATATAGTGTTGTTCACAGGTCTGCGGGGCACCTGGGTAGTTCATCTGGTCTTGCTTATGCAGTCAGCTGTGGCTTGGGTAGGTAGCTCTGCTGATCTTGCCTGGACTCTCTCAAGTGTTTGCAAGCTTGTTGTCTCTAGGTTGGTCTAGGATGGCCTCAGATGGAACAGCTGGGCTTCCCACGATGTGGTCTCTCATCCAGCCCAGGTTTATTCACGTGCAGTGGTGGGTAGAGAAAGCAGGTGTGAACCATGGCACTTGGAGCCTCTGCATGCAACTAGCATCCCAGCACTTCTGCCACATTCTCTATCAGCCAAAACAAGCCATAAGGCCAGCCCCAGTTCAAGACATGGGGAAACAGTCTCCAGCTTTCGATTTGAAGAGCTGCAAAGCTACCTCATAAAGAGCGTGGATACAGGGAGGGCAAAGAATTGAGAATATTATTGCAATTCACCTACCATAATTACTATTCTTCTTAAAGATTTTATTTATTTGACAGAGAGATAGAGAGCACAAGTAGGCAGAGCAGTAGGCAGAGGGAGAGGGAGAAGCAGGCTCCCCACTGAGCAGGGAGCCCGACGTGGGGCTCGATCTCAGGACCCTGGGATCATGACCTGAGCTGAAGGCAGCCGCTTAACTGACTGAGCCACCCAGGCGCCCCCATAATTACTATTCTCATTTCTTTTTAAAAATCATGTTCTTTAATAATGGGAGAGATAAAGATATCTTCTTTTTCCCCAGATAAACGAATCCAACTATACATGAAAAGCCTACTTTGTCTTCCAAGTCCTCAAAAATGCATGCCTCCCGTGCCAGGAGGCCTTGCTGTCATTCAACAGGAGCTAGAAGTGCTAGGCTCTCAATATGCAAACATTGTGAATCTCAACAAACAAGTGTACGGACCATTTTATGCAAATATACTTCGAAAGCTGCTCTTCGGTGAGGAAGCCATGGGAAAGGCGGATGCCTCATCTTCTAACTAAGGAGGAACTGACATTGGATGTGAGGTTGGAAATCCAGCACTTTGGTACCCAGTCTCTTTCCACCAGTGGCATTACAGATGCGACACATTCTTAGTCCTTTTCATGGTGCAGTGTTAGCCTGAATTTGTGAAATCTGGTAATATTAGTGTTGCAGAAAACATGCACATCATATAGACCCTATTCATGCATCATTTTCAAGTTCAAAAGAGATGTTTTTAATGGACAGAAAGCAATTTGTAATTAATTATATTACCTATATAATACTTGTAAATGTTTTCTTAAGTATTCATATATGGCTTATTCATTCAACTTTAAGGAGTTGTATTTCCTCACTTGTCACTATCAAATCTAATGATTTTTAATTTTGGTACAACTTCTTAAAGGATTGGAAGTCGTGAGAATCACCAAGGGGACTGATGTTCTGAATAAATGATGTGAAGTAAGCATAATTGTATTTGAAATGTACAATTAAATATTATTAATGTGTAACAGAAACTTACATAGTAAGTCTTCAAATTCCACAAATGTACCAAATCACATATTACCAATTGTCAGTATTTGTCTAGAACTTAAATTTGTTAAAAATATTTTAAAGCTATGTACAAATTTTAGATAAAACTTGTTCATTTAGTGAAAATAGAAAAAAAATCCCTTCCAAAATTTTATTCTAGAGGTTGGTTTTTCTGCCTGCAACTTATCCTGCCCTCTGAGAGAAACAACTTTTGCACAAATATCTTAGTGAATGTCCTTGCATTTCTCAGGCCATAGGTAAGGTTTATATAAGATTTTGATATTTTTACATAAGGCAGGAGTGGTTTGAATTGATTTATTTATAATAAGAAGGGAAGTTAACAATAAAACCAGATCCCCAGGGAGATCACTGTTCTCAGTGAAGTTCACATCTGAAAAAGAAATAGTCCAAACTTTGGATTTTTTTTAACCATATAACTTGCTAGCAAATGCCCCCTGTGCTGATTAAATTCTTACCCCGCTGTGACCAAGATGCTCTTCTAAGTCTCATTATCATTTGACATTCTCAAGCATTAAAGCAAAACTTGGCCAAGTCGGCACTGGCTGTCATCGGGCCTTTAGAGAAATCGGCTTGTCCTGGAGTTGAATACTTCTTTTGAAATGTTAAGGGAAACACTCCAGTCTGGGCAGACTCCATCTAGAAAGTACTTTATTCCCATCAAACACATTTTGGTTATTTTGTTCTCTAAGGACTCACTGAATCTTCATAGTCTGGTGGGGAAGAGTGTGTAGGACGTAAAAAGGAGCATTCCTTTCTTACCTCCTTCTCCTCACTATGACTTCCACCATTATGGTGCTACTTAATTATTTGATAAAGTTCTAGGAAATGATTGTGTGGATAAATTACCTCCGAACTTTACATTTTGGAGGGATCTGACAAAATTTGAGGAAATTTTGAAAGTCCTTTTTTTTTTCCTCACAATGACCAATATATAAATCAGCCATTCTAACCATCTGAGCAGCTGTGTATAAGTAACTTCTCCTGAAGAGCACATCACTGGTGTTACCCGTTTTCCGCCCCCTGTTCCTGTATTTCCCTTCCGCCCGTGTTGCCCTGTGCTTAGAAACTATAAGGTGCTGAAGATTTTTGTTTTCATTTTCACTTAAGTTGAAGTAGTTTTCAACTCTGTTCACTTTGGAGTATGGGTGGCAGGGAGGGTCTGACATGGAAAAGTAATAGGTAGTGTGACTTCTCGTTGCTTTCTGAGGTAAACTGTATACTTAACAGGAAGACCAGGTGGTGTGCTTTTTTTACCATCAGATTGGAATCCAGCTGGTATTCTTATATACTTGATTATATCGCAATTGCCAGCAGGAAAACAATGTGCAGACATTTTTTTTAAATGCATTTTAAATGAAGGGCATTCTGCTGCTTTATTTTTCCTTTTTTAAGTCCCAAAGTAAATCTCAATGTCTCAAGTCTGGATTTAAGCAACTACATTTATTAGGATTTTAAAAGCATATCCCTTAGCATGTTGTTTTGTGTTTTGTGGTTTTTTTGTTTTGTTTTACTTAAGTGTTTACTTCTACTTTTGAAGTTTTCTTAACGTCTTGTTTTGTAATGTCAGTTTTATTAAACACCATACACACATTTTCATTCTTCTGCTAAAACATGTATTGTGTGCACTAGTTAAATTTTAAAACATTAAAAATTATTTCAAGATAGCCAGTGTCTCTTTGTTTTCTAAACCACCTTTGGGTAGCTCAGGGCTGGATATTGTACAGTCTTTATTGTAGTTGTTCTAGAATGATTCTTCTGGTGATTGTCAGAGCCTTAAAGAGATCAGGTCATGGTCACTCAGTCGGTCAGTCAACAAATACCTACTAAGCATATACTATATGCCCAGGGGTATCCTACGTGTTGTGATACACAGTGACTAGACAAGACACTGTCCTCAAGAAGCTTATAGCCTAGTAACAAGGACAAACTTGTGAACAATCACAACAAAGTGTAATATGGGCCATAAAACAAGTACACATAGTGCTAGAGGTAATACCATCAAATTCTATTTCATGGAGATTGTTTTTGAGCTACAACAGAAAGGATAGGCAGGAATTGCCAAGGGGCTGAGAAAGGGGAAGGCACAATAGGCCAAGGGCATGGTGAGTACAGTGGTGTGGAGAAATGGCAAGCCAAGGGCCAGCACCCAGTAGAAAAGTAAAAGTGAGGGGAGGCAAAACGAGAGAGGTAAAAAGGTTCTGGGATGTTATGCTAAAATTTGTGGGTTTTGGCCTGAAATAGATGAAGAATTTGAATCTTTTGAAACAGGAGAGAGTTATGTTTTAGAAATTATGTATTTGGAAATTGTGTTTTGGAAAGATTACCCTGGCAAAGAACAGTTGCTGTTGGTGCTGGAATATTCCTCTGCATGGAGTGTGTACACATACATGCACTCACACATGAACACATGGTTTAAGGAACAGAAATGGACCCACACCAACTGAAGCAGAAAGGGAGCTTATTGCTTAGCTATTAAGTACCTCACAGAATCTTCTTAATCTGGGGAATCAGGCTTGGAAAATGGGTAGGAACCAGGGCAATGCAAGCTACAGGACTCTGGCCAAGCTGGATTCAGTCTTACGGCTTCAGAGACTGATTTCTCAACTGTCCTTGCTTCGCTTCATTTGCTCAAGATTTAAAGTCCCAGATATCAACAAGCAGAAGAATCTAGAACAAGTGCCCGGGCTCTGATTTGCAGGGGAGTGAATGAGGGAGTAGCTGACCCTTAGACTCCCATGGTCCCATCAAAGTCACCCAACTAGAGATGTCTTCCAAATGGACAAGGTTTGTTGAGGAACAGAAAGAGAAGAAGAAAAAAAAAACCCACCATCATGTACATTTGTGAGGTCTTTAAAATTTGAATGTGAGAAATGTGTGAGCTCACCCAATATAGCATTGCCTCTGAGAATAACACCGTAAGATGATTCAAGGAAGGGTATAGGCATGCAAAGTCAGCCTTTATTGGTGTGTGCAGATGAACTGTTGAACAAATAGCTCCCCATCTCAGTGGCCTCATAGACCCACATTTCTCAAATTATACTTCAAAGCAGGGGGTAGGTTGGTGGGCTCTCGGGGAGGTGCTACTCCATTCAGCCCTTCAGAAGGCCAACTTCCATCCATCCTGTGACTGATGTCCCCCTAGCTCTTCAAAGTCTCCAGTCACTCAGAAGATAGGGAAAGAAAAGGGTTGCCCACTTCCACTGATGGTTCATCGGCCAGAACTCAATCACGTGGCCTCATCTAACTGCAAGGGAGGCAGGACAAGATGCCGAGGAAGAAGAGGCTGATTTGGATATATTGGTCAGTATTAGCAGTCTCTACCTTGGGTTCTTCTAGCTTCCTTCAATAAGCCCCATGAATCTTCTCTTTCTGAAGAAAGGTTTAAAGCCATGCCTGCTCTGATCTTTGACTAGTAGTTCTCCAGAGCACTGTGTTGAGAGGATTTTGAAGCCAGGTCCAGGATAAGCAGTAGAGAGCGCTGTGTCTGCTTGGCGTAGTATGCCACCTGTGCGGGGTGCACCACCTGTTGTGCAATGTATTTTTATTTCTAACTCGAACCCTTCTTTTTTTTTTTCTAAAGATTTTATTTTTATTTATTTGAGAGAGAGAGAGAGAGAAACAGCATGAGAGGGGAGAAGGTCAGAGGGAGAAGCAGGCTCCCCGCTGAGCCGGGAGCCTGATGTGGGACTCGATCCCAGGACTCCGGGATCATGACCCGAGCCGAAGGCAGTTGCTTAACCAACTGAGCCACCCAGGCACCCATAACTCGAACCCTTCTTGAAACTGAAGTTCAGCCTGTTCCACCTCTGGGGATGGTAAGTTCCAAAATTTTCCACTCATTGTTTAGTGAAAGTAGCATGGGACTGAGAGTCACAAGACCTGAGTTTGAATTCACTTCCTCTACTTAATAGCTATATGAACTCATGCCAGTTTCCTTAATTTCCTTACCAGTTTCCTACCCTACCTCACAGAGATGCTGTGAGAATCAAATGAGATAATGTATTCAAAATTGTCTGCAAACTCCAAAGAATAATGTCATCAGAATACATTAAAATAACTGTAATTTATTAGTCCTAAATCTCCTTCAAGCTTCAGGAGGTTTTAGTACTGTGAGCTGTGATGGTCAAGTACTTAAATACATCAGAACAGAGATGGTCATATCCCATCAGAACCATGGTTCATTAAGCCCAGTATTGTCACTGGCAGAGCTCAAGGGTATGCAGAAGGCAGCAGTAATTGTCCTTGGTGACAGCTGCAAAGGAAAGTGACAAACCCAACATGTTCTAGTTGTATCTAGTTAGTAATCACTTGTGATTTGATCTTTTATTTTTAAGATTTTATTTATTTAACAGAAAGAGACACAGCCAGAGAGGGAACACAAGCAGGGGGAGTGGGAGAAGGAGAAGCAGGCTTCCCCGCGGAGCAGGGAGCCCGATGCGGGGCTTGATTCCAGGACGCTGGGATCATGACCTGAGCCGAAGGCAGACGCTTAACCGACTGAGCCACCCAGCGCCCCTGATTTGATCTTTTAGAAAGTATGCTTGTATTACTAACTTGTGTCCTCTTGTTCTCTGTTTTTGGGGTGAAGCTTTCTCTTTCTCATTTCTGAGCTTACTATGTCAGCCTCTTTCAGATTTCAAGGGAAAGGGGCCGAGGGATTTATTGCAAGGTTTTATAAAGAAGAAAACCCAGATTCTGTCTTCAGCAGCCACACTGGCAGGCAAGGAATACTCTAAGCACTTCATACACCTGATCTCCTATAACTGCACAACACCCTGGGAGGCAGGCTTTATCACTATTTCCATATAGGCAAAATGAGACTCCAGATTGGCCAAGGAAGTTGTCCAAGGTTACAGAGCTGGTGAGTGTCTGTGAACCCAGAGAGTCTTACCCTGGAAAGTGTGCTCTTAAACTACTTGCTATGTAGGTTTCCTAAGGTCATCCAATCAAAATTATTTCTCACTGCTTCCAAAAGCTTCCTTGGCGTTTTACTTCTCTGCTTCTTTCTGTGGCTGCCCTCCCTTCTGGTCCTTCTTAATAACATCCCAGAGAGAAATGATTGAGTCTACTTGCCATTGGTCAGTATGGTCACTCCTCTCTCCCACTATCCTGCATTGGGTAGGGGTCTCATGCCTGACAAGCCACCTCGGCTCCCCTACCTGGCTGTCTTTGACAGGTTCCTGGCCCTATCGGTTCTCCCAGGACGGCCCGATCTCATGACACAATGCAAGGCTTTTCAGAAAAGGGGTTTGTGGGCGTATCAAGCAGCAAGAGGTTTTTGGACCATCCCCCCTTGCTCAAAATGCCGGTTGTTCTCTGATTAGAGGCTTCTGTCCATGTTCAGCCTCACCTTGCTGTTTGTGAAATGATAGGCTTCATGGACTCCCTCTTTGCCCTTGCCTGTCCAGACTGAAGAGCCCATGTTCTTTCCCCAACATTGTTCTAGTCTTTGCTAGTTCTATCATGAATTTATTCAGGTTTAGAAATCAGGATCATGCATGTGTTCTCCCAGTCTGGATGCATCAAGGTTTTGAAGAAGAGAGGACAATCCTTTGTTTCTAGTGTCTTCATGTTGAAGCCTCTCAAAGTAAGGTCTGATTTCTTTAACATGGCATAAAGGCCAATAATGGCCCAGCCCCGATAGATCTTTCCAGTGTCATTGACAGACACTT